CCCTACAGTCTTCACAAAGTCATACTGACCCCCTCAGTCCATACAGCTTGTTTTTCTACTTCTTGTGCAATACAGCCAAAACTGAACACTCTGATTGCTCAAGGCCTATTCTTTTGTCGATGCCTTTAAGAGAAAAGAATTTTGAAAGCAGGGATCAAGTCTAATACTGCTTCATGTTCCCCTCAGAATTGTCTAATGACGTCATATCATTTCAGGTGGAGGATGCTTTGGTCTTTGTTCAAGGGCAGATTATTAATAATAATAAATAGGAATAGTTTATTAATAATAATAATAAACAAGAATAGTACATATAAAATGTTTTTGGCAAATTGCCACCCAAGACTATCAGTATTAACCTGAATCAGGGTGATTCCAGATGGCACAATACTAAAAGTGAGCACTAACAACATAACCTTGCCTTGCTTTCTAGAGAAAGAAAAGGCTTGCCTTGCATGACATCCAAAGTGTCTGTTGAGGGTTAGACCTTCATATGAAGGATCAAGAAACTGACCACTCCTTATCACAGATAATGACAGTCACTCTGAGCTAAACAGCTGTCATCTCTCATCCAGAACAGTGCAATAGCCTTCCAAACATCCCTGCCTCCGGACTCCTGCCTCCTCGGTCTGACTTTGTTACTCATCTGCTCAAAGTCATCCAGTCAGGACCAGTATGAGTCCTAGCAAGAAATGAGTGGCACAAAAGTGGATGAAATGAGAATTTATAAAACTATATAAATGGGCAAGTGTAGAGAACCCACAGGCAGAGGGAGGCACCAGGAGCTGGGAACTCGGGCATCTGATGGTCCTGAAGGAGGGAAGGGGCAGTGGAGAGGGAAACAGGGTCTCCTAAGAGGCACCTGAGGGAACATGTGACCTCAGGACCTGTAGTCCTGAGACTACAGGAGGGAGGAAATTTGCTGATCTCATCCTTCACTCTCTTCCTCACCTCCTAGTAATATTTCATGGTCAAAGCCCAGCAGTACTAGGCAAGGGAACCTGTCAGTGCAGATCCACTTCCTGAGGCAAATCTACAGAGCAAGGTGAAAAGGGGTAAGTTTGGTTGGTAAATGCAAGCTCTGCAGCCAAAAGGCTTCTCATATCAGTCTTTACAAGTACACCAGCCAGGCGTGGTGGCACACGCCTTTAATCCCAGCACTCGGGAGGCAGAGGCAGGTGGATCTCTGTGAGCTCAAGGCCAGCCTGGTCTACATAGTGAGTTCCAGGACAGCTGGGGCTACCAGGAGACTCTGTCTCAAAAAGACCAAAAAAAAAAAAAAAAAAAAACCCCCCCAGCCACAAGGCCCTGCATGATTCATGTCATCTCCCATTTTCCTCTTTGCTGGCCTCTTTACTCACCTGACATACTCCTACCTTAGGTTCTCTACCCAGAATGCTCTTCTCCCAGGTCAACTTGTGTCCTGCCCCCTCACACACTCCAGGTCTCAGATGAAATGTAACATCTAACATCGGAGTTCTTCCTTACCACTGCCCTGGCATACTCCGGTTTTCTTGTCAGCAGCAGGTGTCTCTAAGCAATGGTTTCCTTTTCTTTTCTTTTTATTTTGTGGTACTGGTAGTAGAGCCAGCCTTGCACATGCTGTAGCACTGAGCTATACCCCCATCCCTGGGGGGGTTTTGTTTTTGTTTTGTTTTTGAACTTTTTGAGACAGGGTTTCCCTGTAGCCCCAGCTGGGCTGGCCTGGAACTCACTATGCAGATCAGGCTGGCCTTGAACTCACAGATCTGCCTGCCTCTGCCTCCTGAGTGCTAGGATTAAAGGTGTAAGCAATTTTTCTTTTAAATTTTTTTTTAAATTTTAATGTGTATCATGTATTGCCTGCATGTATGTAAGTGCACCCTGTCGTGCAATGCCCACAGAGGATGGAAGAGGACTTCGGATCCTCTGGAACTGGAGTTATGGACAGTTGTTAGCTGCCATGTGGGTGCTGGGATTCAAACCCACACCTTCTGCAAGAACAGCCAGTGTTCTTAACCACAGAGCAATCTCTGCAGCCCACTTTTCTTTTTTTAATTGACTGACTTCCTAGCCTGTAGCAAAATTTCCTAAAAACATCAAGTTAGTTTCCTTTGTTCACTGACTTGTGCCAAATGCCAGGCACACAAAAGGCACTCAAGTATTCCTTGAGTGAAAACGACTGAACGGAACAGGACTCATAAGGAGGAGACCCTTCTACTGTTTACAGGTTTGACTCCTGTTATTAAATGACTAAATTATTGTCTAACAAATGAAGCTTCTAATAATAAGATAGGAAGTGAATGCATTTGTCTTTATTGCCATGACAGGAAATTGAGCCCTCAGTAAATCTCTGTGGAAGCTTCAAAGCCAAAAAAAAAAGGAAAAGTATCAATCCATAAACAATTCTTCCTATCAATGTTGTTATTTCTGAAACTGCATCATGTTAACCTACCTCAGTCATCTGTAGAATGTGTAAGGACAGAATGGTACAATGTGCAGAGAACACTGAGCACTGTGCTGGGGCCAAATAAAAGGTCACTGTGGGGGCTGGAGAGAGGTTCAGTGGTTAAGAGCACTGGCTGCTTTTGTAGAGACCCAGGTTCAATTCCCTGCACCCACATTTTGTCTGTAACTCCAGTTCCAAACCTCTTCTGACCTCCCCAAGCACTGCACGACATGGGTCTACCTACCTATATGCAAGCAATACACTCATACACATAAAATAAAAATAATAAATATTTTTAAAAGGTCACTGTGATTATTAAAGCAGAGGAAGCCAAAAAATGAAACATCACATTATCTTCCTATTATCTGCAACTGTTCATCCTAGACTTTTAAACTATGAGCTGGAATAATAATATAAAATATAAGATGCTCTACTATCCATCATACTACTGGGCCTACATCTGACAGATGCACTGTAATAACTATCAGGAACTAGCATCCTCTCTCAGCTCCAGTGTTGGCCTGCCCCTTTTCAGAACATCTTGTATCCATTTTTTTTATTGTTTAGAACACCTATTTGGGGATTGGGGATTTAGCTCAGTGGTAGAGCGCTTGCCTAGCAAGTGCAAGGCCCTGGGTTTGGTCCTCAGCTCCAAAAAAAAGACAAATAACAAAAAAGACCCAAAAAAAACAAGGCAACTAGAACACCTATTCAGAACATGAGTGCTGGTGTTTTCCTCACAGGACTAAGCAGGCAGGAACTTTAGCAGACTACTGGAAAAGACAAAAAGCAGTACACAAAAAGAAAAAGAACAGATCATTAAAAATTCCTGATAGTCTGTTTTTTATGTGCCTAAGCATGGAAGGCTTTGTAGAACAACTGATTCTTTTTTCTTCATTACCATCCTCGCTATACCCTTATCTGCTAAGTTAATCCAGTTAAGTGCAGAAAAGATGGGGATTGCTTAACCCCATAGAAAAGGAAAAGGCTTGACATGAATCTACTCAACAACAGAAGCATCACTTTCGTGGAACACCCTATTAAGCTGGAGAGCTAGATTCATTAGATAAGGGTTTCCTTTACTATCCTAATATCCATGAGGTGTAACTCTCATTTAAAATATTGCTTCCAGTACTATTGTGTATAAACGTGTATTCGAGCTCCTGTTTTTGTTATAAATTTATATTTAGGGCTGGTGAGATGACTCAGTGGGTAAAGACACTTGCTGTGCAAGTGACAACTTCATTTTGATCCTTGGAACTCACAGAAAGGTGAAAGAGAACTGACTCCACAAGGCACAAACATTCACAGATACAGTATACACACATTCACTCAGGTTCTGATAGATGTTCTGAGCAATGAAGAAGTGGACACAAAGTGCTCTGAAAAGGAGCAGGCCAAGGCTGGGGTTCAGAAAAGATTCTAATAAAATTAAAATTAAGCCCAGGCATGGTAGCACAGTAGACTTTAATCCCAATAATCAGGAGGCAGAGGCAGGTGGATCTCTGTGAGTTCAAGGCCAGCCTAGTCTACATAGCAAGTTCCAGGTCAGTCAGGGCTGCATAGTGAGAACCTGTCTCAAAAAACAAATAAAAAATAAATAAAATTAATTTTAGTCATAACTGTAAAACACAGTCATGATTGCTATTAATTTTTCCTAAATAGAAGCTTCCTGTTTCAGGTGTGAAAGATGAAGCAGGTCCCTCCAAGGTTAAGTCTGGGTACTGATCTTAACAAGATCTTATTTTAGTACGCAGCTGGGTGCTTAGTCCTCAGCGCTAAAAAGAATCATCCTGACCACCTCTAGTAACAGATGGGTAAACAGCTCTACAACAACTACTCTGGAACAATTCCAAATGGAGAAAGAGAAGGAAAATTAAAACGATAGTTCACTACTCATTCCTTACTTTCCACAATGGCATATTCGATACTACCCTAGGCCTTAGTGAGTAACAAGCAGTTCTAAATCCATACTTTTAGTTCTTTCCAAACTATACTGTTTTCCTGTCTTCGCCAGCCAGGCTCCTGGCTAGTGGCTGTTTTCTTTCTTTGTATTTCCAGCGTTCAATAGGAGGCGATCAAGATTACCAAAATGCCCATCACGAGGGTAGGCCTCAACCTGACCTAGCAAGTCAGAAATTAAACCGATTGGCATGACCACTGTCCGGCCGTTCTGTCCCCTAAATATTCCGAAACTGCGAGCATGTCGGGGAAAGAGCACGGTCGGTCCCGGAACCTCCACACATCCCGGCAGAATGGAGTGGGCTGCTGGTTCACCCGGGCTGATGTGGGCTGCAGACACAGAACACGATTTACACGCTGATGCCGAATGGACACGGGTACGGTCCTTTCCACCAAGCTCAACCCAAACAATGACCCTCCCCACGTCAGACTCACAAACACTCCACTACGAAGCCCCAGTCTGAGCGCCCAGAGCTCGCCTGGGGCGGGTGAGCCGCGATGCAATGTGGGAAGCGTAGTTCTTAGAACAATTTCGCACCCAGGCAGGCCTGCGGAGGGACTCCCGCTCCCAGAAGGCCTCGCGCGGTCGCCTCGCCCAGTCCTGCCACCTCACCTGTTCTATGGACGTGACTGTTTCCACCAAGTCGTCTTGCAACCGCTCCCGCGCGTGCTCGGGCCTCAGACTGTACAGCGGTTCTGACCAGACAGGGGAGGAAGAAGGAGGGCAATAGTAGGTGAAAGAACTCGGAGAAGCCATGATCGGGAGAGCAGCGGGCGCTGTATGGGACTCCGCTTCGTCCAGTAACAACGCGCATTGAAACTCGAGCGGGCTAAGGCGCTACGGAAAGTGGGTAGAGTCAAAAAGATTTTGAACGCGAATTTCTCCTCCCATTCACACATCTTCAGAGAGTGAGTTACTGAGATGCTGCCGCCCCCCATTGGGCAGATGAACTGCTGCAAGAGCTTAGCTTCCTGGAGTGCAAGAAAGGATGTGTGCACTTCTGAATGAATTTCATTTCCTAGAGATGGCGCAGGATGCCTCAGTTCGTTATGAAAATAATTTTAAAAGAAAACTTCGACATTCTGCTAATTCTCGCCTTGTTTTAATGCGGTAGCTTGCGGTTTCGGCTGCTCAAGAACCCAATGAATGTAACTTGAAAGGCATTTCTGACAGCTCTCCTGATTGCCTCAGTCACGCTATTAGTAATAGAATTATCGTGCACTTTGGGTCCTTGACAAGCTCCTGGGAGAAGGGGAGCTGCTCAGTAAACGAGCAAAACTTACTTCTCAACACTCAGTGATGGAGAGGAAGTGCACTGTAATTTTATCCTACGCCCTTGGAGGTTACAGTGCAGTAGGAGAAAGTAAAATGTAGAAGAAATGAGTATAAATGAAACAGGCAAAGAAATAGTCAACAAATATTTATGGTTAGACGCATGTATGGCTCTAGAGCAGGGGACCCAGGTTTCCAGCATCCACATCAAACAGCTCACAACCACCTGTAACTTCAACGCTATAGAATCTGATGCAGTCTTCTGGTCTCTGAGGGCACCTGTACTCGTGAACATACCCCAACACACACACACACACACACACACACACACACACACACAATTTAAAGTAAAATTTTAAGAAAGCTCGACCACATTTGGACAGCAATAGAAGAGAACAGGGGAGAAGGCTTATTGGTTAAAAGTGCTTGCACAAGCATGAGGAGTGGAGTTCAGATCCCTAGAACGTACATACATTCTGGGTGGGTGTGGTGGCCTGCCTACATTCTCAGGAGACTGAGACAAGGGACTCCCCAAGCAAGGTGGCTAGCAGGATGAACTGTATCTCGAGTTCTGGATGTAATTGAGAGACCCTCAGTAAATAAAGTGGAAGAGCAATCAAGGCTGACAGTCTCAGGCTTCCACATGCACACATACATGCCCACACACAAACAAAACATGCATATGGAGATGGAGAGATGGCTCAGCGGTTAAGAGAACTGGCTGCTTTTGCAAAGGACTTGGGTTCGAGTCCCAGCACCCACATGGTGGCTATCAGTCATTCATAACTCCAATTCCAGGGGATCCAACATGCTCTTCTGGCTTCTTCAGGCATTGCATAACACAGGTGCACTTATATACATGAGAAAATACACTCATACACAAAAAATAAAATTTTAAAAACATGCATACACATGCACACATGCATATACACATGAAAATGAAAAAGGGGGTGACTACAACAAAGTTACAGTACCAAGAAGTTATTTAGGTTGAGGGGTTTTGGGAAAGATAATAATAGACATCCTAGGTGCTGGCAGTGTAGTTCAGTGATGGAGCACATGCTTAGTATGTGCAAGGCTGGGTTTGGTCTCCAGCATGCATATGTGCACACACACACACAAACACACAAGTGTATTCTAAGATCCAGGGACTGTAGACCTATGTAGTAGTAGACCTATGTAGTGTCCTCAGGTGAATGGAAGCATTCAGATTCCAAAGATGAGGCTGGGCACCATAAAGGCCTCATTTGGGTAAACACTAGCATATGCCCATCTTGGTGCCAGGTTAAGACCTGAATGTTAAAAATATGAAAGTAAGTGGGACTACTGGGTTAGAACCATGGATAAGGATGCATAATGTGAAATGGGCTTATTACACATCCCACTGTATTGCTATTTTATTGTCTTTCCCTTAGTTCTGTTTTGGGAGGGATTTGAGAGGGGCGGGGAAATCTGGGTCATATCTACATATCTAAGGAGTCAGCATTTTGTGTAAAAAGTTTCTTTGCTTAAGAGCTCAAAACAACATATCAGTCTGAAAGATGGAGTCACTGAAAGACTAGGTGAAATAATTTTGGAACAAATTGTTGCATCTGCCACAGGTGCACCTAAAGAAATTGCAAATTTTATTTTTAGAAATAAAAATCTGGGGAACTGGAGAGATGGCTCAGCGGATAAGAACACTGGTTGTTCTTGCAGAAGACCCAGGTTCGAATTCCAGCACCCACATGGCAGCTAACAACTGTCCGAAACGCAAGTCCCAGGGGATCCGACAGCCTCTTCTGTCCTCTGTGAGCATTTCACGACATAGATGCACTAACACACATTCAGGCAATATACTCATACACATAAAATAAAAATAATAAATAAAATTTGAAAAAAAGAAAAGAAATAGAAATTGGCCTGTGTGTATATGTGTGGTGCTGGGGGTTGAACCTAGGACCTTGCACATGCAAGCACTCTACAATGAAGCTCTATCTCAGGCCCAGAAATCAATTCCTGAAATCCAGTCTCCTCTGCAGTGAGAACCAAAAGATGTTAATAGCATCCTGGCAAAAGTCTCCTGCAGACTAGTGTTGGTTCATTCAATAAATGTTTATAAGTATCAGTTATGTGCTAGGCACTGGACTAAGTGCTTAGGAGACAGTGGTGAACAAGCCAGTCTTTACCCCGTAGATCTCATGATTTATGAGAAGAAACATATTAAACAATAATGCAATTTTTTTCCTTACAGTTCAGGAAAATAGCTTCTGGCAGAAAGAAGCCCAGGATGTTGCAAGATTGCAAAATGGGTCAGACGTAAGGTAGTCTGGAAGATCTGGAGACTCCTGTGAGAAAATGAGCTAGGTAACCTGCAGTGAAGGAATGAGCAGGCAAGGGAAACTCAGTGACAACCAAAAATCACGAGAAAGCAGCAATGAAAACATGCAGAGTTTGTACTGTGTGTAAGCATGAAGAAGATCGTTCAGCTTTGGCTCAGCCACGGCCTGCCAGCTGCCCTTCTGAATTCAATAAAACCTGGAAACAGAATGAACATGGACATTGGCCTCCTTACAGAAAATGATGTACTTTGAAGGGACCTTCTTAGGAACGCTAATAACAACTGCAGCTTGGACTGCAGGTGGTTTGGATTCATTTTACAGAAATATCTATTCAGTTTTTTTTTTCTAAATTAAACTGTGAATCTTGTTAAAAGACAATATAAAATGTGGACAGTGCTATTTTGTGCTTGGAAAAGCAAGAAAACAAGAAAAAAGTTAATGGTCTAAATAAACCACTAGAGGTCGCAAGGATTAAGCTTAGAGAGCCCTTTGTGGAAAGGAATTCTTTTAATACCTTGTGGAACTATCTAATAGATACCAGAACGTTTGAAAACGGAAAGAGCTCATCTGTTTTCCTATGAGGGATTAATTTCCTCCTGCATATTTACCCCATCATCTGCGCCCTCCTGCTCCCCAGCGGGTCCCAAGGCATTCCCAGGGATGTCATGGTTGCTCCAGCCCTACCCTAGGGACAGCCTCTCCCCTCATGCCCTGCCCAAAGACGCCTTAACTACGATTCTTCCTCGCCTGTCCTAAAATAAAATTTTAATAATAAAATTTTTCCCTTTGTTGATGAATCCCGACACTGTCAAACACACAAGGACTCTATTCTCATGAGGGGAAATGCTTAACTCCAGATTCTGTTCCTTCTACATCCCCATGGATTTTGATTGAAGATGGTTGGGTTTGTTTTATTCAAATACCCAATACTGTTTTCCAAAATAAAAGCGAGCAAATGTCCTTGAAAGAGTTCACCTTACTGCTTCCACTTTCTCCAACGCTTTGTTGGATCCATTCTGCTCTGGCTTGACATAATTAATGTCAAGCCTCCCTTAAATGTCACATTGCTGAATCCAATCCCAATCTCAGTATTCCTGACAGACATCTTGGTAATATATGCATAGGTGCTCTTTACGTCTGTCAAACTATTTTTTTTTAAAGTTTTACTCTGTGTGTGTGTGTGTGTGTGTGTGTGTGTGTGTGTGTGTGTGTGTGAGTGAGTGAAGGGGACACACGTGGAAGCCAGAAGACAACTTTGTGGAGTCAGGTCTTTCCTTTTACCTTTATGTGAGTTCCAGGGATTGACCTCAGATCCTCAGGCTTACGTGGCAAGTGCCTTTACCCACTGAGTCTCCTCACTGGCTCAACACTTTCTTTTTAAAAACATTTTTGTGAAGTGCCCCAGGCCTCTCTCCTACCCCCAGGCCTCTCTCCGGGGTAAGTCCATCACGCCCTCCCTGCCTTGACACCCCCCAGCCTCATTCACCCTCCCATCTCCGCAGCCTTACTCTCTTCCAAGTTTGGGCCCTGCCCCATTCCTTGTCTTGGGGTCCCAGACACCTGGGGAACCAATACTGCTTCCTGATCCCTTTCATCCAGAGCAACATAGTGCCTTCTCTGGGACCTGGGAGCACTGCTTCTGGGCCTGGCCCTGCCCTCACCTCCCTCTGCTTCCCTGGGCCTGCACCACCCCCCAGCAGAATTCTATCAGACATTTAAAGAAGATCTGAATCCAATACTACTTAATTTATTCAAAAATAATAGAAATGGAGGGAGAACTTCCAAATTCCTTCTAGGAAGCCAGTATCACTCTAATATCAAAGCCAGGTAAAGATACAATCAAAAAAGAAAACTATAGACCCATATCCTTAATGAACATAGATGCAAAAATTCTCAACAAGATACTTGCAAACCACATACAGACACACATCAAAAAGATCATCCACCATGATCAAGA